CGTTCTGGTTGACGTTGTCGGTGACGTTGTAAACCCCATTTTTTTCTTACGTAAATTTTGACGTTGTAAACGCCTATTCTTTTTTTCTTACGTAAATTTTGACGTTGTAAACGCCGTTTTTTTTGTCTTACGTAAATTTTGACGTTGTAAACGCCAATTTTTTTGTCTTACGTAATTTTTGACGTTGTAAACGCCGATTTTTTGTCTTACGTAAATTTTGACGTTGTAAACGCCAATTTTTTTCCTAACATACATTTTGACGCTGTACAAAAGCCAAATTCTTTTTTCTTACATAAATTTGGATCTTGTAAACGCCACTTTTCGTCTTGTTCATGTCATGATTGATGTTATCAACCCCAAGCTTTTCTTGCTTCACGTCATGACTGACATTGTGAGTTGTATTTTTTGTTTCCTGTGATTTTTGCGTCATGAGTCATGATTCATGATTTACTATGCGCGCCCATTTTTGTTCATGTCGTTATTGCAATGATTGTTTTGATGTTGAGTTGGGTCAATTCTTTTTTGTATTGTCACACTCCTGATTTCACAGTTTGGGTTTTGGTTTGTTTTTTGAAACTCAGCTGGCATTGAATCTGGTGGGTGTGTTTAACTTGTTTTTGTCCCTTCATTGGCCCTTCATTGGTTGGTTTTGCCGTTGTCGTCGTCGTCGTCGTCGTCCTCGTGGTTGTTGTTGTTGTTGTTGTTGTTGTTGTTGCTCTTCTTCTTCTTCTTCTTTTTCTTCGTTTTTCCAGTTCTTGTTCTCGTTGTTCCGTTCTTGGTGATAACCGTGCTTGTGGCTGTGGTTCTTCCATTGTGTAAAGGTCACTGTCACACATTGGTACATGGTTGCGGTGTCACATCGTCACTTCCTGCGTGTAAGTGTTGCATAATACAATATAATACATAATGCTGAATAAATGATGAACTAGTTTGTTTCCTTAAACCTGGTAGATCCTGGTAGGCTGTGGCAAGTAAAATTGGTAGGTAACGGCAGGTAACAAGACAAGACTCACCTGCGAGAAAGGCAGGTCCGATCAATAAAGCAAAGATATAACAGGATGTATGCATGCATGCATGTCTATGTCTGTATGTATGTATGTGGGTTGTATGCGTTTTGAAACCAGGTAAAATTCGATCTCACTGAAGTACTGTAAGACTAGTAATGTAAACTTATGGGCAAATGTGTTGTGACACACAGGCAAATTATAGAGGCCAACGCCTAACATGGGCACAGTCCCGAACTATCCCGAACTATCCCGAACTATCCCGAACTATATGAAATACATCCGAACGGTTCAGAACGGTTCAGGTGTCACTTCGTTTTCCTCATCCTTGCCCCCAGGATGGATCCCAGAGGACCACTGACCGCTCACGTGACAAGATTGCCTGCCTTAGACGGGTTTGGGTGTGACATATACTTTTCAGAAGATTGTGAAATTTAGCCTAAGTTTCTTCCAGCCCCGTTCTTTGGGAAAACATTCTGCCACGACTTGTGTCACAGCCTAAGTTACTTTCAGACATGCTTTTCTTCACCGAAGTTTTACTTGAAGTACCTTGACTTATGGCAATTTACAACTCACAACTTGCAACTGACATCACTTGTCTTACAACTTTTCTTCCTCTTATAATTTGTAATTAACTAATTAACTTAAAACCTCATAGCTTAAAACCTTTACTTGTTTACAAGTCATGCATCTTCAACTTGTTATGTTGTAAAAATTGCCCACTTTTAAGCTTAGAATCTAAGGCAAAAACCTGATACGCCTGAACCGTTCTGAACCGTTCGGATGTATCGGAGGCCTGAGTTCGGATTAGTTCGGAATAGTTCGGGATAGTTCGGGATAGTTTTCGGAGACGCCTGAACCGTTCTGAACCGTTCGGATGTATCAGAAACTGATACGCCTGAACCGTTCTGAACCGTTCGGATGTACCAGGAATTTACAATGTTTTTTTCTATATTTTTTGAACTTAACTTGAACTTAGTTTTTAAGCATGTAATTTTATCATAATTGACATGGATAACTGGATAACTTATTGATAACTTAATAACCTTTCAACTGGTGGGCTGACAAAAACATATACTTTAACCTACCTTATCACTTATCAGAATACTGAATCAAAACTTCATAATCATAATGGATCAAAAATGCCAAATTTACAGCATTAAAAATTACGTCGGGAAAAACCGCCAAATTTACAACAACAAAATTTACGTGAGGAAAAAAACACCAAATTTACAACATCAAAATGTACGTGAGAAAAAAACGCCAAATTTACAACATCAAAATTTACGTGAGAAAAAAAACGACAAATTTACAACATCAAAATTTACGTGAGGAAAAAAAGCGCCAAATTTAAAACATCAAAATTTACGTGGAAAAAAAACGAGAAATTCACAACATCACTTACTAACATCGAGGACAACATTGGACGTGTGCCAAAACATTGATAGAGGCAGGTGCCTGAACCAAGTTATAAGTTATTTATACGTATCAGAAACGCAAAGTTATTGGAGCTATAAACCCACTTAGCTATCGTAAAGGGGGTCCCCACATTGTATAGATTCCCCATTTCGAGTGGAATTCCCATTCGGAAAATCAACAACTTACGTATCTTTACTCCGAGTGATCGGCACCATGACAAATTAGTTGATTCGATTCTGACATTCTATTCTTGCATTCTGTCTGGCATCTATTCTGACATTCTCTCTGTCATGCGAACTGCCAGAGTTCAACCGCCAGCCAAGGAATCTCAGTGGCTGCACTTGCTGGTCCATCCCAGTTCGTAAGTAGGTCATGTTTTTGCATGGGCTAAGGGCAACGTTCACTTATAACTGAGGTGAACTAACCCACTGACGATTCCTGGGATGATCCTCCAAGTAGGGCTGCCATCATCCATTTCATTTTTGGATTTTCATTGATTTTCCATAACAAATCCAGCTTTTGGGGATCTTTGATTGACACAAACCAAATGGCAAACTAAAGCTGTAGAGCTTCTGATGCCTCTCCAGCTGCTTCTACAGGCCCGCTCTGTGATGTCATCGGAGTCACGTCTGTCTCCTTGGGTTTGCTATAAAGGACACCTCAAAAAAAATCACCCCGTCAATGTGGGGCCCGTTATGTTTGTTGGTTGATAGACCCCATGACTCATATTAATTACTATAGCTATAAGTTATTTATGCGCATCAGAAAAGCAAAGTTATTGGAGTTATAAACCCACTTAGCTATCGCAAACGGGGTCCCCACATTGTATAGATTCCCCATTTCGAGTGGAATTCCCATTCGGAAAATCAACAACTTACGTATCTTTACTCCGAGTGATCGGCACCATGACAAATTAGTTGATTCGATTCTGACATTCTATTCTTGCATTCTGTCTGGCATCTATTCTGACATTCTCTCTGTCATGCGAACTGCCAGAGTTCAACCGCGAGCCAAGGAATCTCAGTGGCTGCACTTGCTGGTCCATCCCAGCTCGTAATTAGGTCATGACCCTCTTATAACTGGGGTGAACTAACCCACTGACGATTCCTGGGATGATCCTCCAAGTAGGGCTGCCATCATCCATTTCATTTTTGGATTTTCATGGATTTTCCATAACAAATCCAGCTTTGGGGGATCTATGATTGACAGAAACCACATGGCAAACTAAAGCTGTAGAGCTTCTGATGCCTCTCCAGCTGCTTCTACAGGCCCGCTCTGTGATGTCATCGGAGTCACGTCTGTCTCCTTGGGTTTGCTATAAAGGACACCTCAAAAAAAATCACCCCGTCAATGTGGGGCCCTTCAATTATGTTTGTTGGTTGATAAACTTGATATTACTATACTTACAAGTTATAAGATGTTATAAGTATATCAGAAACCATAGTCATTGGAACTATAAACCCACTTAGCTATCGTAAACGGAGCACCCACATTGTATAGATTCCGCATTTCGATGGGAAAATCAACAATTCATCGAAAAAAACACATCCAGGGCACATCTGTCGCTGATGCTGGGGCCATTTGCAGTCGTTCACCGTAGGTGACGCTCCACTTGCTCTCCAACTTAGTGACATAGTTCACACCATCGGTGGTCTGCACATTGGTATAACTCCTTGGTCTCGAGTAACTCCAGGTCCAATAAATATTCATCAATTCCCAACTTATATTCCCCCATTATGGTCAATCTCAAATGCGGATAATTTAGAGGAAACCTCAAAGCCCATGGTTTCAGATTGGTCCAGCTACTCCATTGGCTAACCAAATAGATCCAAGCGTTTCATCTCACATTTCCAGCCAACAAAAACCCAATTCTAAACACACTCACGCACATATTCACCCCAAAAATGGTCAACTCAGATCCTCCACGTAGGGAATATTTACCTACATTTGGGCCATTTTTTGGGTAACTGTAGGTAAATATTCCATGCATGGAGCACCTGGGCAATGTTGAGTCAATTTGGAGGTTTCCTAAAATAGGGGTACGGCGAAATCATCAATTTTAGTGGGATTTTCCTTTATAAACTATCCATTTCGGGGTGCCCCGATTCCAGGAAACCCCTTAAAAAACACCAGAGCTCCGGCAACGTTGTGGCCAGCTCTTTGAACGATGCAAGCGCCCAGTGGAAGCCTCAACTTGTTCTGGTTCCTCATCAATAAAGGTATTGAAATATCGGAGGGCCATGACCTGAGCATTTGGTGCCATTGTTTTTGCCTATGATTCAATTGCAATTTCATGGGTTTTAGATAGCAAAGTTGGTTTATGCTCTTAATCGATTCCGGATGTTCTGTTGTGTTCCCGAATAAAATTGAAAATTGCTTTCCACAAGCGGGCAACTGCAGCAGCACTAACCTTTTGCTATGCAGTTGGCCTGTGCGGCTGGTTTTCTGTTTGATGCCACATGCATCATCAGTTTGGTTCTCTCCAGGAACCACTTCCAAAACTAGTGGCGGTGTCACACAGCATTTCCACTCGGGTGTCGAAGCCAGGGGCTTTCGCGTCCGGTGCTAGGAACACTAAAAGTGCTCAGACCACCATTCAATCGACCACCAGGCTCCATAGGACCTTAGGTGGCCTTTGGATCGGTCTTATGTCTCTTCCAGTTCGGCTGATGGCTGGTTGTCCAACGGAGACGGAGACCATATAGAAACTTGAATTGGGAAAAAGCCTCGCTCACGTCTAGTTGCCGGTCAGGTCGGAAGCCAGCAAAACCAGGATGGGTAAGTTCATCAGCCCACTGGTTGTAGTCTCTCTTCATACGTGAAGGGGCCAGTTGCACCCCTGCCTTATGGAGCATCACAATGAGCTGCATCAGGAAGGCAGAGGTGGGCATCTGTTTGGTCTTTTTGGTTCAAGAGTCCAAAAAATTTGGCTTGGTTGTCGGAGATGAGGCTCAGACGGGTTCGGAGGAGTGCCTTGCCTCCCTTGATCAGGAGGAAATGAGTAAGGATCAGAGTGCCAAACATCTCCAGAGCAGAAATTCGATGAGTGGGATCCCCTCTTGTGTGCCCGACTCCACGGAACCTGATAGTGAAACCACCAGGTGTCCTCTTTTGAGTGATTTTCTTTGTCCGCTAACCATCCTCCAATATATGTTCGTCCATCTGGGTGTGCACTGGCATCACTCGCCTCCCACCAGTTTGATGCAGGATCATACGGGCAAGGTTGGACCTGAGGATGGTGGAGCAGATGGAGGAGTAATTGCGCAAAAGAGCGGATGAGCTTGCTAGGTCTCCCTGAGGTAGTAATGTTGGCTGCACAATAGTAAATCCCCCCTAAATTACGTTTTTTTTTGGGGGGGGTCAGCATTCCAATAGTAAATTTGGATCAGATTTCTGGAATCTAAGCTTTTGTTAATGAAAACTTGCTGCTTTGAAAAGGGTTTTGCTTTACTTTGCTTTCTCCAAACACCTGAAAACAAAACCAGGGGAAGCACAATTGGAATTCATTATTGCCATGCCTGGTGCAGGTTTATTATTGCTATTCTGGGGCTTGTAAAGGGGATACCCTTTGCGGACCTGTTTTCTTGTTCCCCACCTGCCAGGTGAGGGTTGTTAGATTTTATCAGAGCCGTTCTTCTCCTCCTCGGCTAGCTCTTCCTCCTCCTCCTCCTCTTCCTCCTCGTCCTCCTCCTCCTCCTCCTCGTCCTCCTCCTCCTCCGCCTCCTCCTCCAGTTTCTCCTCGACCATGTCTGCATCAACTTCCACCTCAACTTCCGCCTTGCCAACTCTTCGCCAAGCTCTTCGCCAACTTCCCAGCTCAGTGCGCACTGCTGCACCTCAACCTCACACAATCCCAGCTCAGTGTGCACCGCTGGACCTCAACCTGGGACCTTCCCAGCTCAGTGTGCACCGCTGGACCTAACCTGGGACCTTCCCAGCTCAGTGTGCACCGCTGGACCTCAACCTGGGACAATCCCAGCTCAGTGTGCACCGCTGGACCTCAACCTGGGACCTTCCGAGCTCGGTGTGCACCGCTGGACCTCACTCAACCTGGGACCTTCCCAGCTCAGTGTGCACCGCTGGACCTCAACCTGGGACCTTCCCAGCTCAGTGTGCACCGCTGGACCTCAACGGCCAGATAGAATGACAGAAGATATGCCAGATAGAATGCCAGAAGATATGCCAGATAAAATGCCAGAAGATATGCCAGATAAAATGCCAGAAGATATGCCAGAAGGTATGCCAGATAGAATGTCAGATAGAATGCCAGTAGGTATGCCAGATAAAGTGCCAGAATGTTTGCCAGATAGAATGCCAGAAGATTTGCCAGATAGAATGCCAGATAGGATGTCAGAAGATATGCCAGAAGATATGCCAGATAGAGTGCCAGAAGATATGCCAGAACAGATTGCAGAAGATATGCCAGCTAGAATGCCAGAAGGTTTCCCAGATAGAATGCCAGAAGATATGCCAGATAAAATGCCAGAAGGTATGTCAGATAGAATGCCAGAAGATTTGCCAGTAACAAAATGTATAAATGTCATGGTGGGGATAACTCGAAGTAAAGTATTTTTTGTAAATAAGGGTTTTATAAGGAAATCAGCTGTTTGGTAATTGGATCAGATTTCTGGAATCTAAGCTTTGTTAATGAAAAGTGCTTGCTGCTTTGAAAAGGGTTTTGCTTTACTTTGCTTTCTCCAAACACCTGAAAACAAAACCAGGGGAAGCACAATTGGAATTCATTATTGCCATGCCTGGTGCAGGTTTATTATTGCTATTCTGGGGCTTGTAAAGGGGATACCCTTTGTGGACCTGTTTTCTAGTTTTTTTTTTTAAATAAGGGTTTTATAAGGAAATCAGCTGTTTGGTAATTGGATCAGATTTCTGGAATCTAAGCTCTGGATACTATACCATGCCCTCTGGACAAGGTCAGAAAATGAGTTTTTTGGCAATACTAAAATTAAATTAGCCTAATTGAATTTTAGATTTGGAGAAAAAACTCGAGTTGGGAAAAACAGTTTTTACTATTGCCATGTTGGGTCCACTATTGGCCATGCCCTCTGGACAAGGTCTGAACATGACTCTTTTGGCAATACTAAAAGTACATGGAGCTAATTGACTTGTAGTATTGGAGATAAAACTGGAGTTGCGGAAAAAAGTTTCTACTATTGACAAGATATCACTATTGGTCAGAAAACATTAGTTGCTGCCTTCCACGCCTAGAAGGGTTGAAGGAATGGACGGCTGAGTGGCCATGCGGATGTAGCCCAGCTTTCTCAATGTCCTTGGCAATGATCCGTTGGAGCAGAACTCCAAGGACGGTCTTCTTTTCCAGGGGCGAAGCCTACAAGTGGGCCACATGGGTTGACCTGGAACCCCAGCCATGTGTTGACCTCAGATAAGACAGTTTTGTGCCAGCTAAGGGGGCAACCGAGAGCTGCGAGAAGTAGGAGCAGTTGAGCTGTGTCCTGGGTTGCCGTCTCAGTCCCCAAAAGCCAGCAAAAATCAGCAACAAAGACAAGCTTCTTCGGAGGGCCTTCGTGACATCAGCTTTGAGTATCGCCCATGTAGTGGTCTTCTGAAGATGTTTCCACCCCATGTCGGTGCCCGTGGCTGGGGTGGGGCCCTCCTTCTACCGGCAGGACAGGAACGGTCTGTGCGCCCAGCGCTGGACCCAAAGTCGAGCCGTCAAGGCCTAGACGAGACACAGTGTCTTGAAGTTCATTGAGCTGTGCCTCAAGGTCTTCCTCATGTTCACATCCGGGTCGACCGCAGGAGCAAATGGTTGGGTCTCCTCCTGGTCAGCAGGGCGTATCTTAAAGCAAGTAGTCGTCTCCCACCGAGGAAGCCTCTTCTACTTCCAACACCGAAAGGGGAGCCACAGTATCACATGCCATAGGCCTTGAAGACGAGTCCATGGCGGCCATTACAGCAAAGAGAGGATCGAGTGTTTTGTCGACACAAACAAACCCAAGGTCAGGAGACTTGAGCCAAAATGGCAAAGCCATTTTGGCAACTATATCAACAACACATGACTTGCTCTCCACAAGTTCCAAGCAAAGAAACAATAATTGCTTAGTGCAGTCGGAAAATGAAAATAGAACCTATAATTATAGAAATCACTGGCTCAAGGTAACAGAATTAAAAATAAAACCTTTAGTCCGCAACCTTAACGTTCGCCCCGACTCATCATTGTGACATAACAGAGACAATTCTGTGTTGCTGGGAAGTTGCGAATCCAAGCAAGGCCAAGGGGAAAATTAGGCCACGGTGGCATGTGAAAGATACCTTGAATACAGTTATCTTCAGGAGGAAACACTATCACCTGAGCATCATGAGGGATGAAAATCCGCCACCCCTATGACCAATATGCTGAACGGGCTAACAACATCAACTTTATCTTCATGAGGGATCAAAATTGGCCACCTCCTCAGAACAATATGTAGATTGGGGAAATAACATCAACTTTATCTTCATGAGGGATCAAAATTAGCCACCCCCTCTGAACAACACGCTGATTGCGGGACATCAACTCCGGGCAAACGTCCAGGTTGCAGCGAAACTTGAAAATGACAACAATCCAAGTGACTTAAAGTATCAGTCGACTACTGTAGACTGTACCGATTGCAGCTGACACTGCGCATCTGGAGCCAATGATTCAAAGGTGCCATGATGTCGTCATATCCCTGCGAATTGTGAAAAAACACTGTGCATTATTCAATTTTCATTCTATCTAACGCCTTCAGGGGCGATCGGTTCCCCAGAACGAACCGTTCAGAAACGGTTCCGAATCAACTTCCAGATGCCCTCTGGCAAACTAGCCCAGCTAAGGCTAGTGAAAACACCAGTTTTAATAGTTAAATCAGCCATAAGTGGGCAATTTTCGATAGCTATGTTAGTTCAGTGGAAAATAATGCAAACATACGTTGAATCAGAGAAAGATCTGTCTGTATATTCAACCGTCAATGTTTGACAAAATGATGGCCAACTACGTTTCCAAAGCACATTCCCAGGTGGGCTTGTTTGTAAAAAGGGCGACCCAGAAAATATGGTTCGGAAAATTGAAATGCACCTAACTTGGCCATATATTGGGGCCTTATCCCCTCCTTGTGGACAAACACGTTCTATGATATTCTATGTATGTATACATATGTATATATATATTTACATTAACATATACATAAATCTGTATATATTAAAATATATTCTATATTTGTATATAGATTGTAACATTATGTGCAGTCAAACATATATTACTATATATTGATCTTCCGTTAGTTTACGTATACAGATGCCAATGGGGACGTCCCATCTATGACTGGCTTGCGACCACTGTTGATGCAAGGAAACTTACTAACTGATCAGTCTAACGCAGGCTACATTGATTTCACATCACATTGACATATCTTTATCGATATCAAAATCTATTGATGTTCGATGTCCAGGATTTGGGAAGTACGGTCTAGAATTATATACTGTATATATTTTACCATTCATGGAATGACAAATGGCTATGGGATTATCGATGCCATGAATGAAGTTAGAATCGACTTGTACCCCGTAAAGGGCCATAAACTTGGTGCTGCATGCTAAGTAAGGTTAGTGCCTACCCCAGTGAATCCAATGGGCCAAGTAGGGGCAATGTCCATTGCGATTCGTGGGAGCCAGGAATGAAGGAATAGTATGTCCCTACAATGTGGGGGCCCCCAGTTATGTTTGTTGGTTTAAAAACCTCTATGAATATATATATATATAACTATAAGACGTTATAAGTATCAAAAACCATATAGCGAAGTTGGTTTGTAAAATCTGCAATAACAACTAGGACCAAACATTTCACTGGGGAGCACCATCTTGTAGATACCCTGTATTTTTTTGCTGGTGAGTGTATGTTCCCCATCATGGCAAAAAAAATCGGAGGCAGGAGCGTGAAAAGAGCCTTGCGATGTTCGGATGATTTCGCATGGATTTCCACCGGTGGTGAACTCAACGAACCCGGCGGAACCGAAACAATCATTGCGCTCTTTTTTTCGGCAGGAAATGAAGTTGTTCGTGAGCTGCATAGCGCAGTCGATGCAGTCTCTGAATGCCTCTAGAATACAAGAACCATGTGAACAACCCAGTGCATGGTTTCCGGCAAAGTAGAACATGAGTTTTATCTTATACGGTGATCCCAGTGCCCAACTGCGTGCACTGTTTGGTGGTTTCAACGGTTTCAACCGTGTACAGCAAAAGGTAAATGCAAATATAGAAATTGCGTTGTCTTTAATGTTGGGTGCCCCAAAATTCATTGGTTCATCATCCTACCTCATCAAACTGCCATTTTATGGCTACACAGAACTTTTCAGACACAACCATATTATGCCATATGCAAGCCATCTATCCAGGCCAGGGATGCCGTTTCACCTCGCCAGCATGCTGCCAGTTGTTCAGCTACATAACGGTTAGCGGCTAGCGCTTTGCGATGGTCAACTGCTGGTTTGAGACCGGATGGTCTGGAATTCCGTGCAATCTGAGATGTCCTTTTCCCATGGTTTTCGGCAAGGAAATCCAAACCACCAACAAAAAAAAACAACAGTTATATTCTCCCGGGTGTGGGCCGACTATACCCAATCCCTGGTTTTAACCCGCCCATGGTGCATGTACCTTCATAATAATGTATATGCATACACCATGCTATGTACACACATCAAATACTATTGCATGTTGCACATGAAACCTATTGCCTATGATATCCATGGTTAAAAGAGGCATGATATGTCATTCTTAAATTTCACAGCAAACCGACTTACAAACCTGATCATATCATAGAAACCATTTGCCGTATGTGTGTATATACGTATGTATATCAACCTTGAAGCTGCCCTGCAGTACGGCGCCGCATTTTAAGACTGGTTTTGTTCCAGTGCGAGTGGCACATTTGAAACTTGTTTGTTGCTGTTCGAGTGGCACATTTGACAAACGGTTAGGGGTGGCAAATTTGGAAACACTTACAAGGTTAAGGGTTGCAAATTCTAGGACATTGTAGGGTTGGGTTTGCTGCAGCATGTATCATGCGTACATACTGTATTATTTCTATTTGGTTGTTTCAAATCATATGTTGAATTGTAGCATTGTTAGTATTATTGCTATTAAATAGTTGCTATTACGCGTCTTTGTTGATGATTTTTGCTTTTGTTCCCCACAACTTTGTGTGGGGTTCTTGTTTTTGATTCTGTATCCCGGGTGCCTCCGCCTCCTCCTCCTCCCGTCGCTCCGCATACACTCACACACACAAACTTAACACAAAACTTGTCACATACCATCTCTCATATACACTTCTTCACACACACAAACTTAACACACACTCATACACACACACACAACTTTGTCACATATCATCTCTTCACACACACAAACTTAACACACAACTTTGGACACACACTCAGACACACACAACTTTGTCACATACCATCTCTTCACACACACAAACTTAACACACAACTTTGTCACACACCATCTTTCACATACAATACTTCAACTTGCTCTCACACAACTTGTCCACACACAACTTTGTCACATACCATGTCACATACCATCTTTCACACACCAATTTGTCACATACCATCTCTCACATACAATTTGCGTGGCAGGCGTGGCACTCATGGGACTGGGTGCCCTTTGCGTGGCAGGCGTGGCACTTGGTGACATCCACCTTCGTTTCACGTGGCAGGCGTGGCACAAACTCGACATCCACCTTCGTTTCACGTGGCAGGCGTGGCACAAACTCGCATCCACCTTCGTTTTGCGTGGCAGGCGTGGCACAATCTCACATCCACCATCGTTTTGTGTGGCAGGCGTGGCACTCATGGCACTGGGTGGCGCGCTTGGGTCTGGTTTAGGCGCGCCCTGGTCGCGCGTGACGCCGCGGCATTGTGCGTGGCAGGCGTCTTGGTGACATCCACTTTCGTTTCACGTGGCAGGCGTGGCACAAACTCGACATCCACAAGCGTTTTGCGTGGCAGGCGTGGCACAATCTCACATCCACCATCGTTTTGCGTGGCAGGCCTGGCACAATCTCACATCCACCATCGTTTTGTGTGGCAAGCGTGGCACTCATGGCACTGGGTGGCGTGCTTGGGTCTGGTTTAGGCGCGCCCTTGTCGCGCGTGACGCCGCGGCATTGTGCGTGGCAGGCGTCTTGGTGACATCCACCTTCGTTTCACGTGGCAGGCGTGGCACAAACTCGACATCCACCTTCGTTTCACGTGGCAGGCGTGGCACAATCTCACATCCACCATCGTTTTGCGTGGCAGGCCTGGCACAATCTCACATCCACCATCGTTTTGTGTGGCAAGCGTGGCACTCATGGCACTGGGTGGCGTGCTTGGGTCTGGTTTAGGCGCGCCCTTGTCGCGCGTGACGCCGCGGCATTGTGCGTGGCAGGCGTGGCAGGCGTGGCAGGCGTGGCAGGCGTGGCACTTGGTGACATCCGCTTTCGTTTCACGTGGCAGGCGTGGCACAATCTCACATCCACAAGCGTTTTGCGTGGCAGGCGTGGCACAATCTCACATCCACCATCGTTTTGTGTGGCAGGCGTGGCACTCATGGCACTGGTTGGCGCGCTTGGGTGTGGTTTAGGCGCGCCCTGGTCGCGCGTGACGCCGCGGCACTGTGCGTGGCAGGCGTGGCACTTGGTGACAGCCACTTTCGTTTCACGTGGCAGGCGTGGCACAAACTCGACATCCACAAGCGTTTTGCGTGGCAGGCGTGGCACAATCTCACATCCACCATCGTTTTGCGTGGCAGGCCTGGCACAATCTCACATCCACCATCGTTTTGTGTGGCAAGCGTGGCACTCATGGCACTGGGTGGCGTGCTTGGGTCTGGTTTAGGCGCGCCCTTGTCGCGCGTGACGCCGCGGCATTGTGCGTGGCAGGCGTGGCAGGCGTGGCAGGCGTGGCAGGCGTGGCACTTGGTGACATCCGCTTTCGTTTCACGTGGCAGGCGTGGCACAATCTCACATCCACAAGCGTTTTGCGTGGCAGGCGTGGCACCCACCGCCCTGGCGCCGCAGCTCTTCCAGGAGGCTCCCTGTACTGCGCCTGCCACGCGAAAGGCAGCCAGGAAGCTCCCTGTACTGCCTGCCACGCGAAGCCAGCCGCGGCCCAGCGGCGCCGCAGCTCCTCCAGGAGGCTCTGTGTACTGCGCCTGCCACGCGAAGGCAAGCGGCGGTGAGTGAGTGAGTGAGTGAGTGAGTGAGTGAGTGAGTGAGTGAGAGTGAGTGAGTGAGTGAGTGAGTGAGTGAGTGAGTGAGTGAGTGAGTGGAGTGATCAGTGTGAGTGAGGAGGAGGCGGCGGAGGAGGAGGGGGCGGAGGAGCGGAGCCCCGGCGGGATCCAAGCGAAAAACAAGAACCCCACACAGTGATGTGGGGAACAAACCGAACTTTGACAGGCGAGTTTGTAAAAATAAAAAACAAATCAAAAATACAGTGTCATCTGTCTATATGATAGCAACACATTACAGCGTATTAAAATATAATGTGTATGAATATATATATATCTCTCTCTCTCTCTCATCAATTCTCATTCTGAACAAGATTTGGTGGTAGAATATGCTCAAAACGCCATGGGCTGGCCATTTTATCTGAGGACTGGGTGAACTGCTCACAATCACCCGGGACATATGAGCCATCTGGGTCAAGACCGATATTCTTCCCTGAGACCAGATGGTTTCAAACTACAAACTGCTTGCCGTAATGGATGTGGATCCCACTGACTCGACCCATATGCATGGCATGAACGAGTGGCCACCGAAAAATTGATCGACAACATGGACAGCCTGAAGGCCACAGAATCGATGGATGCAGCGTATCTGGTGGGCCATCCTAAGCATAGAAAGTCATTTGGATTTGTCTGCTGGCGTGTACTCCCCAGTGCTGGTACTGTCAACAGGGAAAATTATGATTAACACTGGGATTTTGGGGCACCGTGGAAGTGATTAACACTGATTAAAAGCAAGTGTCCAGAGTCTAGAGATTGACTGAGGTCATGATTTCATGTATGTTACGAGGTTGAAAATGAAAAAAGCATGAAAAAAACAAGGGACCAACGCCTTGAGGCGGGCGTGGGTTCTTAATCATTGTGGCTTTTGGAATTTAAACCAGGAATGAACATAGTATACATATAGTAGTTTACAGTGAATTATTCTTCCGTAGCATGAATTCTTGATATCAGCACGCACAGGTCAACATCTGAAAAAAACAACTGTGCAGCGCATCAACTTTGATTTTCGAAGCTGACTCACTGACATTTTTGCTTCGGTTCTTTGTCTTCAGCCTCCATTCTTCGTTTTGAAGAGTTGGCCCAGCTCCTGCATACTTTTGTTGATTTTGGGAACTGAACCGCCTTCATCGCACGTACAGCATGAATTGGCATTCAAACGACCTCTATACAACGTCTTGACATTTACAGGCAGCCATGACTGAAGACTCTCTGGGAGTCAGCTATCTGAGTTTCAATATTTCGACCGACCTCTGAGAAATTTCTGATTTCGATTTCGATAGCTCACCTGCTTGATCCTAAAAGATTACACCCCCGTGCTGAACCTCAGCGAGCATCTGCAACATACATGCGAACATCGGCAACATGTCAAATGCTGAAATGAGGGCAAGCAGCAGTTGCATGGAACAACTCACGCCCGCCTCGGGGCGTTGACCTCAAAAAGAACATTTTAATCCCCCCGATACCACCCACAAGGGCACCCACAATGAAGAGATCCAATACTAAACCGTTGGTGGGCCAGGAATTGGGGGTGTTTCATAGGGGGATGGGATCGACATTAAAACATCTTTTTAAATTACCAAACAGTCAGCTGATGCTTCTTGATTCATATCTGCCATTCTCAAACTCTATGTAGCCCTAACCTTCCAGTTATCTTTAGGACAGGTAACCATTTCAGTTACCTATGAGACAGGCAACCAAGCATAGTTTCCGGAACCAAGGTTTGATGTAGCGATTGGAACCGTAACAGGTCGGAACCGTGACAAAACGCATTGGAACCGTGAAAATATACCTTGGAACC